CCAAATTTAAAATTTCAGTAATTCTCGCCCTCAAAATCCCGGAATAATAGCACTAAATGTTCAAAATAAAAAAATTTCGGGAATTTTGATGAAATATTGGTCCTAGGTCCATTCTGAGTCCATTTTCGGATTCAGCGTGGGAAATTACCAGAAAGGTCACTTTCCAGCCACATCCGGCCAGTAGTTTCCGAGTTTGAAGCAAAAATAAAAAAAATCCAAAAATTTTATGATTGTTGGACCTAGGTAGGACCCTTACTGGATCAAAAATTTCCTATTTATTTTTTTGTTTGCTTCAAAATCGGAAACTACTGGCCGGATGTGGCTGGAAAGTCAACTTTCTGGTAAAATCGCACGCTGAATCCAAAAATGGACTCCGAATGGACCTAGGACCAATGTTTCATCAAAATTCCCGACAATTTTTTATTTTGAGCAATTTGTGCTATTTTCTCGGGATCTTGAGGCCGAGAGTGAATAAATTTTTATATTCCAAACTTAACCCTATGCTGAATCCGAAAGTGAATTCAGAATTTATCTAGGTCCAATATATCATCCACATTTTTGAAAGAAAATTCGGACCGATTTTCCCACGAATTTTTTTTTACGTGGGATTTCTGCTTAATTTCAAGGTTTTTGTCTTGGCTAGTAAGTTTTAAAATTAGTCTAGACAAGAACCATCATTAATAGAGAAATTTTGCGACAAAATGGATTTCGTAGTAAAATTGGTTCAAAATTTATTTTTCAGAAATTTTGATGAAATTTTGAACCTAGTTCAATTCTGAAACCAATTTTGGATTCAGTAGAAATTCTAATCCCAAATTTAAAATTTCGGTAGTTCTCGTCCTCAAAATCCCGGAATAATAGCACTAAATGTTCAAAATAAAAAAATTTCGGGAATTTTGATGAAATATTGGTCCTAGGTCCATTCTGAGTCCATTTTCGGATTCAGCGTGGGAAATTACCAGAAAAGTCACTTTCCAGCCACATCCGGCCAGTAGTTTTCGAGTTTGAAGCAAAAATAAAAAAAAAATCCAAAAATTTTATGATTGTTGGACCTAGGACCCTTACTGGATCAAAATTTCCTATTTATTTTTTTGTTTGCTTCAAACTCGGAAACTACTGGCCGGATGTGGCTGGAAAGTCACCTTTCTGGTAAAATTGCACGCTGAATCCGAAATTGGACTCAGAATGGACCTAAGACCAATATTTCATCAAAATTCCCGATAATTTTTTATTTTGAGCAATATGAGCTATTATCTCGCGATCTTGAGGCCAAGAGTGACTAAAATTTTGTATTCGAAACTTAAACCTATGCTGAATCCGAAAATTAATTCAGAGTCGAGCTATGTCCAATATTTCATCCAAATTTCTGAAAGAAAATTCGGAACGATTTTCCCACAAAATTTCATTTTACGTAGGATTTCTTCTCAATATCAAGGTTTTTGTCTTGGCTAGTAAGTTTTAAAATTAGTCTAGACAAGAACCATCAATTATAGAGAAATTTTGCGAAAAAAAGGAATTTCGTAGTAAAATTGGTTCAAAACTTATTTTTCAGAAATTTTGATGAAATATTGGACTTAGGTCAATTCTGAAACCATTTTTGGATTCAGTAGAAATTCTAGTCCCAAATTTAAAATTTCAGTAGTTCTCGTCCTTAAAATCCCGGAATAATAGCACTAAATGTTCAAAATAAAAAAATTCGGGAATTTTGATGAAATATTGGTCCTAGGTCCATTCTGAGTCCATTTTCAGATTCAGCGTGGGAAATTACCAGAAAGGTCACTTTCCAGCCACATCCGGCCAGTAGTTTCCGAATTTGAAGCAAAAATAAAAAAATCCAAAAATTTTATGATTGTTGGACCTAGGACCCTTACCGGATCAAAATTTCCTATTTATTTTTTTGTTTGCTTCAAACTCGGAAACTACTGGCCGGATGTGGCTGGAAAGTCACCTTTCTGGTAAAATCGCACGCTGAATCCGAAAATGGACTCAGAATGGACCTAGGACCAATATTTCATCAAAATTCCCGATAATTTTTTTATTTTGAGCAATTGTAGCTATTATCTCGCAATCTTGAGGCCGAGAGTGACTAAAATTTTGTATTCGAAACTTAAACCTATGCTGAATCCGAAAATTAATTCAGAATTGAGCTAGGTCCAATATTTCATCCAAATTTTTGAAAGAAAATTCGGAACGATTTTCCCACAAAATTATATTTTACGTAGGATTTCTTCTCAATTTCAAGGTTTTTGTCTTGGCTAGTAAGTTTTAAAATTAGTCTAGACAAGAACCATCAATTATAGAGAAATTTTGCGGAAAAAAGGATTTTCGTAGTAAAATTGGTCCAAAATTTATTTTTCAGAAATTTTGATGAAACTTTGGACCTAGTCCAATTCTGAAACCATTTTTGGATTCAGTAGAAATTCTAATCCCAAATTTAAAATTTCAGTAGTTCTCGTCCTCAAATTCCCGAAATAATAGCACTAAATGTTCAAAATAAAAAATTTTCGGGAATTTTGATGAAATATTGGTCCTAGGTCCATTCTGCGTCCATTTTCGGATTCAGCATGGGAAATTACCAGTAAAGTCACTTTCCAGCCAGATTCGTCCAGTAGTTTCCGAGTTTGAAGCAAAAATAAAAAAATCCAAAAATTTTATGATTGTTGGACCTAGGTAGGACCCTTACTGGATCAAAATTTCCTATTTATTTTTTTGTTTGCTTCAAACTCGGAAACTACTGGCCGGATGTGGCTGGAAAGTCACCTTTCTGGTAAAATCGCACGCTGAATCCAAAAATGGACTCGGAATGGACCTAGGACCAATATTTCATCAAAATTCCCGATAATTTTTTATTTTGAGAAATTTGAGCTATTATCTCGCGATCTTGAGGCCGAGAGTTACTAAAATTTTGTATTCCAAACTTAACCCTATGCTGAATCCGAAAATGAATTCAGAATTGATCTAGGTCCAATATCTCATCCAATTTTCTGAAAAAAAATTCGGACCGATTTTCCCACGAAATTTCATTTTACATATGATTTCTTCTCAATTGCAAGGTTTTTGTCTTTGCTAGTAAGTTTTAAAATTAGTCTAGACAAGAACCATCATTAATAGAGAAATTTTGCGACAAAATGGAATTTCGTGGTAAAATTGGTTCAAAATTTATTTTTCAGAAATTTTGATGAAATATTGGACTTAGGTCAATTCTGGAACCATTTTTGGATTCAGTAGAAATTCTAGTCCCAAATTTAAAATTTCAGTAGTTCTCGTCCTCAAAATCCCGGAATAATAGCACTAAATGTTCAAAATAAAAAAATTTCGGGAATTTTGATGAAATATTGGTCCTAGGTCCATTCTGAGTCCATTTTCGGATTCAGCGTGGGAAATTACCAGAAAGGTCACTTTCCAGCCACATCCGGCCAGTAGTTTCCGAGTTTGAAGCAAAAATAAAAAAATAGGAAAATTTGGATGAATAGTGGACCTAGGACCATTAATGGATCAAAATTTCCTATTTATTTTTTTGTTTGCTTCAAACTCGGAAACTACTGGCCGGATGTGGCTGGAAAGTCACCTTTCTGGTAAAATCGCACGCTGAATCCGAAAATGGACTCAGAATGGACCTAGGACCAATATTTCATCAAAATTCCCGATAATTTTTTATTTTGAGCAATTTGAGCTATTATCTCGGGATCTTGAGGCCGAGAGTGACTAAAATTTTGTATTCGAAACTTAAACCTATGCTGAATCCGAAAATTAATTCAGAATTGAGCTAGGTCCAATATTTCATCCAAATTTCTGAAAGAAAATTCGGACCGATTTTCCCACAAAATTTCATTTTACGTAGGATTTTTTCACAATTTCAAGGTTTTTGTCTTGGCTAGTAAGTTTTAAAATTAGTCTAGACAAGAACCATCAATTATAGAGAAATTTTGCGAAAAAAGGAATTTCGTAGTAAAATTAGTTCAGAATTTGTTTTTCAGAAATTTTGATGAAATTTTTAACCTAGTTCAATTCTGAAACCAATTTTGGATTCTGTAGAAATTCTAATCCCAAATTTAAAATTTCAGTAGTTCTCGTCCTCAAATTCCCGAAATAATAGCACTAATTGTTCAAAATTAAAAATTTTCGGAAATTTCGATGAAATATTGGTCCTAGGTCCATTCTGAGTCCATTTTCGGATTCAGCGTGGGAAATTACCAGAAAGGTCACTTTCCAGCCAGATTCGTCCAGTAGTTTCCGAGTTTGAAGCAAAAATAAAAAAAAATCCAAAAATTTTATGATTGTTGGACCTAGGTAGGACCCTTACTGGATCAAAATTTCCTATTTATTTTTTTGTTTGCTTCAAACTCGGAAACTACTGGCCGGATGTGGCTGGAAAGTCACCTTTCTGGTAAAATCGCACGCTGAATCCGAAAATGGACTCGGAATGGACCTAGGACCAATATTTCATCAAAATTCCCGATAATTTTTTATTTTGAGCAATTTGAGCTATTATCTCGGGATCTTGAGGCCGAGAGTTACTAAAATTTTGTATTCCAAACTTAACCCTATGCTGAATCCGAAAATGAATTCAGAATTGAGCTATGTCCAATATTTCATCCAAATTTCTGAAAGAAAATTTGGACCGATTTTCCCACAAAATTTCATTTTACATAAGATTTTTTCTCAATTTCAAGGTTTTTGTCTGGGATAGTAAGTATTAATAATTAGTCTAGACCACAACCAGACTACAGTCTGGTCAATAAAACACATTTTTTTAAGTTTTTTATTTTAATTTTATTATGATTTTTAATACTTTACATTACGTGTTACAGATTGCATGTTTTTAAACAATACTTGGCACATGGTTTTATTATTTTAACTTAAATTTAATATACATAATATATATTAATGAATATTATATACATATAATAAAGTGTTTTATTTTATATTTTTGTAATTAAATATTTAAAATCATAAATTAATAAAATTTAATTTCCTTAAATAAAATTTATAATTTATAGCCTCCATTGTATATAATCACACCCACTTATCGCCGTCCAGAACAATTGGCTGAACTGACACGTTTGGGTTACACGCTCAAACATGTCGTCAATCTGCTGTGGTTGGTTATAGAAGATGCCAATCGGACATCGGATAATGTTATACAAATATTAAATAGAATTGGAGTGCCTTATGAGTATTTTTTGGGTAAGTTATAGTTTTACTCATATAAATATGTATAAGATTTCTAATGATGTTCTATATATTCCAGCTCCCATGCCTGATGAATATAAAAAAGCCAAGGCTAAACCCAGGGGTGTTTCAAATCGTAATCGTGGCCTCCAATGGTTAAGAGAAAATGCCACCGAGGGAGTGTTTTATTTTGCCGATGATGATAATACTTATGATATTAATATATTCGAACAGGTAAGTTTTGTTTGCTATTATATATTAGCCGTACATTCAGAGTATTGCCTTCTTTTACAGATGCGCTATACCAAAAAGGTTTCAATGTGGCCAGTGGGTTTAGTTACCAAATTTGGTGTTAGTAGTCCTATTGTTAAGGCTGGCAAACTGACGGGTTTCTATGATGGCTGGATTGGTGGCCGTAAATATCCGGTTGATATGGCTGGCTTTGCTGTTAGTGTAAAATTTTTACATGATCGTCCCAATGCCAAGATGCCCTTTAAAACAGGCTATGAGGAGGATGGTTTCCTAAAGAGTTTAGCTCCTTTAAATAATACGGAAATAGAATTATTGGCCAATAATTGTACAGAGGTAAGTTTACTATAGACTAGACTATAGAACATAACATCATAGACTATAGACTACACTATAGCCTAGTCTATAGACTATAGACTACACTATAGCCTAGACTGTAGACTACACTATAAACTAGACTATAGCCTTGACTGTAGACTAGACTATAGACTAGACTATAGACTAGACTATAGACTAGACTATAGACTAGACTATAGACTAGACTATAGACTAGACTATAGACTAGACTATAGACTAGACTAGACTAGACTATAGACTAGACTATAGACTAGACTATAGACTAGACTATAGACTAGACTATAGACTAGACTATAGACTAGACTATAGACTAGACTATAGACTAGACTATAGACTAGACTATAGACTAGACTATAGACTAGACTATAGACTAGACTATAGACTAGACTATAGACTAGACTATAGACTAGACTATAGACTAGACTATAGACTAGACTATAGACTAGACTATAGACTAGACTATAGACTAGACTATAGACTAGACTATAGACTAGACTATAGACTAGACTATAGACTAGACTATAGACTAGACTATAGACTAGACTATAGACTAGACTATAGACTAGACTATAGACTAGACTATAGACTAGACTATAGACTAGACTATAGACTAGACTATAGACTAGACTATAGACTAGACTATAGACTAGACTATAGACTAGACTAGACTAGACTATAGACTAGACTATAGACTAGACTATAGACTAGACTATAGACTAGACTATAGACTAGACTATAGACTAGACTATAGACTAGACTATAGCTAGACTATAGACTAGACTATAGACTAGACTATAGACTAGACTATAGACTAGACTATAGACTAGGACTATAGACTAGACTATAGACTAGACTATAGACTAGACTATAGACTAGACTATAGACTAGACTATAGACTAGCTATAGACTAGACTATAGACTAGACTATAGACTAGACTATAGACTAGACTATAGACTAGACTATAGACTAGACTATAGACTAGACTATAGGCTAGACTATAGACTAGACTATAGACCACACTATAGACTAGACTATAGACTAGACTATAGGCTAGACTATAGACTAGACTATAGACAAGATCATAGACTACACTATAGACTAGACTACAGACTAGAGTATAGACTACACTATAGACTAGACTATAGACTAGAGTATAGACTAGAGTATAGACTAGACTATAGACTAGAATATAGACTAGACTATAGACTAGACTATAGACTAGAGACTATAGACTAGACTATAGACTAGACTATAGACTAGACTATAGACTAGACTATAGACTAGACTATAGACTAGACTATAGACTAGACTATAGACTAGACTATAGACTAGACTATAGACTAGACTATAGACAAGACTATAGACTAGACTATAGACAAGATTATAGACTAGACTATAGACTAGACTATAGACTAGACTATAGACTAGACTATAGACTAGACTATAGACTAGACTATAGACTAGACTATAGACTAGACTATAGACTAGACTATAGACTAGACTATAGACTAGACTATAGACTAGACTATAGACTAGACTATAGACTAGACTATAGACTAGACTATAGACTAGACTATAGACTAGACTATAGACTAGACTATAGACTAGACTATAGACTAGACTATAGACTAGACTATAGACTAGACTATAGACTAGACTATAGACTAGACTATAGACTAGACTATAGACTAGACTATAGACTAGACTATAGACTAGACTATAGACTAGGACTATAGACTAGACTATAGACTAGACTATAGACTAGACTATAGACTAGACTATAGACTACTAGACTAGACTATAGACTAGACTATAGACTAGACTATAGACTAGACTATAGACTAGACTATAGACTAGACTATAGACTAGACTATAGACTAGACTGTAGACTAGACTATAGATTAGACTATAGACTAGACTATAGACTAGACTATAGACTAGACTGTAGACTAGACTATAGACTAGACTATAGACAAGACTATAGACTGGACTATAGACAAGACTATAGACTAAATGATTGACTAGACTATACTATAGATTAGACTAAAGACCAGACTATAGCCTAGACTAAAGACTAGACTAAAAACTACACTAAAGACTAGTCTGGTGACTATATTGGGCTATAGACTGGACAATGGACTAGACTATAGACTACACTATAGACTACATTATAGACTAGATTAAAGACTAGACTATAGGCAATTCTATAGACTACACTATTGATCAGACGATAGAATAGACTATAGACTATACTAGTTTAAGTTCAGCTCAAGTTCAGTTCTAGTTCAGTTCTAGTTCTAGTTCAGTTCTAGTTCAGTTCTAGTTCAGTTCTAGTTCAGTTCTAGTTCAGTTCTAGTTCAGTTCTAGTTCAGTTCTAGTTCAGTTCTAGTTCCAGTTCTAGTTCAGTTCTAGTTCATTTCTAGTTCAGTTCTAGTTCAGTTCTAGTTCAGTTCTAGTTCAGTTCTAGTTCAGTTCTGTTCATGTTCTAGTTCAGTTCTAGTTCAGTTCTAGTTCAGTTCTAGTTCAGTTCTAGTTCAGTTCTAGTTCAGTTCTAGTTCAGTTCTAGTTCAGTTCTAGTTCAGTTCTAGTTCAGTTCTAGTTTCAGTTCTAGTTCAGTTCTAGTTCAGTTCTAGTTCAGTTCTAGTTCAGTTTCTAGTTCAGTTCTAGTTCAGTTCTAGTTCAGTTCTAGTTCAGTTCTAGTTCAGTTCTAGTTCAGTTCTAGTTCAGTTCTAGTTCAGTTCTAGTTCAGTTCTAGTTCAGTTCTAGTTCAGTTCTAGTTCAGTCTAGTTCAGTTCTAGTTCAGTTCTAGTTCAGTTCTAGTTCAGTTCTAGTTCAGTTCTAGTTCAGTTCTAGTTCAGTTCTAGGTTCAGTTCTAGTTCTAGTTCAGTTCTAGTTCAGTTCTAGTTCAGTTCTAGTTCAGTTCTAGTTCAGTTCTAGTTCAGTTCTAGTTCAGTTCTAGTTCAGTTCTAGTTCAGTTCTAGTTCAGTTCTAGTTCAGTTCTAGTTCAGTTCTAGTTCAGTTCTAGTTCAGTTCTAGTTCAATTCTAGTTCAGTTCTAGTTCAGTTCTAGTTCAGTCTAGTTCAGTTCTAGTTCAGTTCTAGTTCAGTTCTAGTTCAGTTCTAGTTCAGTTCTAGTTCAGTTCTAGTTCAGTTCTAGTTCAGTTCTAGTTCAGTTCTAGTTCAGTTCTAGTTCAGTTCTAGTTCAGTTCTAGTTCAGTTCTAGTTCAGTTCTAGTTCAGTTCTAGTTCAGTTCTAGTTCAGTTCTAGTTCAGTTCTAGTTCAGTTCTAGTTCAGTTCTAGTTCAGTTCTAGTTCAGTTCTAGTTCAGTTCTAGTTCAGTTCTAGTTCAGTTCTAGTTCAGTTCTAGTTCAGTTCTGGTTCAGTTCTAGTTCAGTTCTTGTTCAGTTCTAGTTCAGTTCTAGTTCAGTTCTAGTTCAGTTCTAGTTCAGTTCTAGTTCAGTTCTAGTTCAATGTCAAATTTGCTAATTATTATTTGTTTTTTTTTTCAGATTTTAACTTGGCACACACAAACTAAAAAGAATAATCCTGCAGAAATTGTAAATGCGACCAAATATGGTGATACAAATTTAATGCTTTTAGAAAAAATGCTAGTAAGACATTAACTTTAAATTTAAATTATTTAATAATTTACCTTAAACCCCCCAAAAAAAGTTTAATATATAATAGACTTAACAAAACACTAGTAAATAACAAAGAAAGACACAACATATAGAAAAACTTCTACAGTAAATTTAAAATATTAGCAATAACTTTACTAAGAAATTTAAAAAACCAAAGAAAAGTTAAATAAAACCAAACAAACATTTTTGTTCCCAAATAAAAAACCAGGTAAAAATATAAAAATAAACCAAAAAAACAAAAAATTGTATGAAAAGTAAATAAAGAAATATTTAAGCACAAAGTGTTAAGCTTTATTAAAAATAATATAAAACATATTAAACGAATATTAAATATTGTATATATAATTAATTAATAAATATTATTAACTAATTAAAATAATATGTAAATATTTATAATTAAACTAAAGTTTAAAAAAAGTACGTATTTAGCTAGCAAGACATATGAAGAAGAGATACAATCATTTTTTTAAATATATGAAAAACAAAAGAAAAAGACATTAATACTAAAAAAATATTATTAAATATTAAAAGTAAACGATTTTAAGTTTTATTTATTAAGAATTTTTAAAGAATTTAAATTGATTTTATTATTGTTTAACAGAGATTTAAGTTAGTTTTTAATAATTTTTTTTAATAAGCGTTTGATTAATATTAATTCGTTTAAATATTGCAAACAAAATTATTATTTTCACAGGAATTTTGTTTATTTTATTATTAAACTAAAATTTTTACGTTTTAGTTTACAAAAGAGTATTTCATTTTGTTTGAAATTAGAATTTATTATAATTCAATTTAAATTATTTATATAATATGCATTTTTAGTTTTTAATTTTTTATATTTTTAAATTTAAATTAAATTTCCTATAATTTAAATTTTATTAAAACAAAGATTTTATAATTCTTTCAAATTATTTTTAATGTACTTAAGTTTAAAATTAAATAAACAAGAGCTGGTAGTCGAATTGCTATAAAACTGATTATTTTGTAACGATTAATCGAATGATTTTCAAAGATTATTCGATTATCAATAAAATTTGGGGAATATTGCATTGCAAGCTGCAATCAAAAAGTTAACACAGGAATAACCTTGAAAAAGTAAAGCATACTTAAGGGAGTTAATTTAATTACAGTGGGGCTGTCAAATAAAAAATTCACTTTTAAGCGAAAATCGTTGACTCGAATCTGAAATTTGACCTAATTTTCGGATTCAGCGGGTGCCAGTTTTACGTATAGCGTCCAACGACGAAATCCGGCCAGCCGTTTAGGAGATAAAAGCAAAAAACCAAATTTCATACAAAATGTTCAGCGGTTGTTTAAAACTGTATTTACGTTTTTCTAGCAAATAAATATGAATTATTTTTAAAGCATACTTTGGGGCTTTATTAATTGAAAGCAATGCATAATGTAAACATTGAGTAGATTTTGTTAAAAACATGTCCTTTTCAGCTAAATTTAAAGGACTTTTTTTAGCAGGATTACATAAAAATGAAGTCCTTAATAGCTCCTGGTCCTGTTTGGTTACTAATTTTTGAGTTTACTATTCAATATGTTTACAAATTTGAGCTTATTACAAACACATTGCAAAGTTTTTAAAAATTATCCTTTGGAGCTAAAATTCAAGGACATTTTCGCCTGGATGCATAATGTAAACATTGAGTAGATTTTGTTAAAAACATGTCCTTTTCAGCTAAATTTAAAGGACTTTTTTTAGCAGGATTACATAAAAATGAAGTCCTTAATAGCTCCTGGTCCTGTTTGGTTACTAATTTTTGAGTTTACTATTCAATATGTTTACAAATTTGAGCTTATTACAAACACATTGCAAAGTTTTTAAAAATTATCCTTTGGAGCTAAAATTCAAGGACATTTTCGCCTGGATTATATATAAATATAAGCTAAGGATGTTTTTAGTCTAGTTTGAGTATTGAAAACTAAGGCAATCATACATTTTGTTTAAAAATATGTTGATGTCACAAAAAATGTTGCCTGTTGTCTGAAAATCATCCTTTGGAACTAATTTGCAAGGATATTTACACATGCAATTTATGCATATCCATTATATGAATATGTCCAACATATGCTAGTCACTTTTTAGAAAAATAAAATGTCCTTATTGTTTGCAATTTTAGTTTATATCAAACCTTGTGAAAAAATTGTATCCCTTGCCTCCGGCCAAAGGTCTGTTGTGCATAATACGTTCTGAAGTCTGGCCGGAGTTTAAATTGTAGCATAAATAGAACCTTTGAATCTCAAAGAAGGCATTTAACACTTAAAATCTGGAAACACGAAGTTCTGGTTATTACACAGTTAGAATTTATCAAATTGTCTCAAAGACATTATGCCTTGCCAAAGTTTGACAAGAATGGAGACAAAGTTGCGACACAATTGGAATCTATGGAGTTGCCAGAAAGTCTTGGAGACTTGAGAAGCTTTTAAAGGATTCGTTTCTGTAAAACGAACGTAAACAAATTTCAAATACAATAGATTTGTTATTAGCAAACTCCGGCCGAAGGTCTGCTGCACAGAATACTTTGTTAAGACAAGCCGGAGTTGAAAATTTAACATAAATGGAATCTATGAATCCTTAAGAAGTTGTTTTAACACTTAAAAGCTGGAAATGCAAAGTCCCAGTTGCACTAAAATAGGAATTTATATGTACACTTTAAGGCCATTAGTTCTTGACAAACTTTAAAGCATTGGTAGCCCAAATTTCAACATAGTTGGAATCTATGAATCCCATAGAAAGCCTGTAACATTTGGAAATCTAATTAAGAATCTGTTTATGTAAAACGAACGATAAAATTGCTCTATAAAACAGAAAATCTTTTAAATACAACAAAGTTTACGTTTTCAAACTCCAGCCGATAGTCTGCTGCATACAATTTTAGGAGTCCGGAGTCCAAAATTTATCCTAAATGGAACTTAAGAATCCCGAAGAAGGTGTCTATTACTTAAAAACTGAAAATGCAAAGTCCCAGTTACACTGCAATAGAAATTTATCAATCCAGCTTAAAGTCTTTAGTTCTAGACAAACTTTAACACAGCCGGAGCCCAAATTTTAACATAGTTGGAATCTATGAAGCCAATAGAAGGGCTCAAACATTAAGGAAACGAATTAGGAACCTGTTTATGTAAAGCAAACATAAAAGTTGACCCAGAAAGCAAAAAATTTTAAAAAAACTTTAAAATTCAGTAAATTTTGTATTTTCAGACTCCAGCTGAGGACCCGCTGCTAATAATACTTTGTTTAATCTGGCCATAGTCCAAATTCCATTGCAAATAGATTCCATGTATCCAGGAGAAGATATCTAATACTTCTTATCCTGAAAACCAAAGTAAAAGTTGGAATCTATGAAATCGGCAATTCTAGAAAACTTCAACGCAGTTAAAATTTCAATACATTTGGGCTTTATCGACTCGGCCGCATGACTCCAACACTTAACAATCTTATTCAAAAGCTGTTTCTCTAACACAAATGAACAAATCTTTGAAACATTTCCAATTTCAACAGAATACTTTCCTTCTAGTTCTTATTAAAAGTGAGCAATTTCCACCTAATGAAAAACATATTAGACTAACAGCTCTTTTTTTTAAGTTATTTCCTAAACCTATGTAAATATTTATAGAATTTTTTTAATTATCTCTAAAAAAAACTCAAAACTATTTATATTATTTGAAAAATTTTTAAACTACTAAACTAATAAATTACTAAATTAACTCTTTACTACTAAATTTCTCAATTTTTTTAGTTAGTATTTAAATAATTATACTTATAAAACTAAAACTAAATAAAGAATATTTAAAAGAAATAAAAATTTATATAAAATAAATTGTAAAAATTATTACCAAAATACAGAAATAACTTAAAATAAAACTTTTACTATATTTTTATGATATTGAAAAATAAATAACAAACAATAATAAAAAAAAAAATTAAATAAAAACAAGAGTTTTAATCAAATTTAAGTCTAAAATTAGGGCAAAAGGTATGACTTCCCTATAGCCAAACCTCTTTTAAAACACCCCCTATATTACAATTAATTTCAAACTACATTTATTTCAAAAGCTTGTAAAAGATTTTATTGCATTATTTTAATTAAATCAAAAAGCTTAAGCATTAAGCACTGCCCTTGAGAACGCCTTAGAAAACTAATAGCACTTTTAAGCGCTTAAAAACTCTACAACAATTTCTTCAACCCCACAGCCCCATCTTACTGCTGAGTACTAAACAAATAACTCAACATGGAGGGTTGGACATGAAACTTAATTTGAGCCTCTTCCCATTTAGTATGCACCAATTTCTGTAGAGGCGTATTAACCGTCGGCTCATCCTTAGCCGCCGATGTTTCATCCTTCGAAAAATTATCCTCTTTCGAAGGTCTAGCCGCAATAGAAGTATTTTCCGAAGAAGATTGTTGATTTTCCAACATACCAGCAGCCTGTTCGTTATAAACACGATTATCAATAGTCATGGCTATTTCACGACCCGAGCAACTATAGTAATACAAATCAAAACGTGATTCAGCATGATAATTACGCAACAGCTCAGGATTTTTATTAAACATGACACCATAATGTCCCGCACACAGTGTTATCCATATGGGACAATTGGGTGTCTTAAGGCGTGAGCCTGGTTGACGTGCCACTGCTGTATTAAGCTGGCCACTTTCATTTTCCCACAGCAGTAAACCAATGGCACAACGTTTTAAAATACCATATTGGGGAGAGGCCTAGAAGAAAACTGTTTAAAAACTAACATTTTTTAGAATTTCTTTTAGCTACTCACATAACTATTTTCATCGCCCACATTTATAACACCATTGTGTATGTAGGGCGTGGCTCGTCCGGTAAGTAAAAGTGTTACTATCATTAGAGAACCTTCCTCATTGTTGCTCATGGTTAGGGGAACAATTTTAGTAGAATCGAGGTCACTGCGTACCCTTGAAAATAGGCAATAGATTAAAATATTTTCTTGGCAAGATACTTTTCTATAAGAAAACTGTGTAGACAAGACACTTTTCTATAAGAGAACTGTTTAGGCTGGATACTTTTCTAGAAGAAAACTGACTAGGCTAGACTCTATTCTAGAAGAAAACTGTCTAGGCAGGACACTTTTCTAGAAGAAAACTGACTATGCTAGACTCTATTCTAGAATAAAACTAACTAGTCTGCATTCTAGAAGAAAACTATCTAGGCAAGACACCTTTTTATAAGGAAACTGTCTAGGCAAGACACTTTTCTATAAGAGAACTGTCTAGGCAAGATACTTTTCTATAAGAAAACTGTCTAGGCAAGACACTTTTCTAGAAGAAAACTGACTAGGCTAGACTCTATTCTAGAAGAAAACTGTCTAGGAAAGACACTTTTCTAGAAGAAAACTAACTAGGATAGACTCTAGATGAAAACTGACTTGGTTAGACTCTATTCTAGAAGAAAACTGTCTAGGCAAGACTCTATTCTAGAAGAAAACAGACTAGGCTAGACTCTATTCTATAAAAAAAACTGTCTAGGCAAGAAAAATATCAATCTCGAACTTACTTGCCCATAGTGCGTGTCAAAACAGCGCTATACAAAAACAACAAAGTACCAGGAGCATCTTCTTCGGTAAACTGCAAGCAAACGAACAATTTTTAAATAAAATTCAATACAATTTTTTAAAATTTTCCTTAAAACAAAAATACTTACAATTTTAAAATAACGTTTAACAAAAAACTCCAATTCCTCATTGGGATTTAAATGGAAAATATAAAGCTATAATACAATAACAAATTAAATCTTACATAACTTTGAAGAATATGGGAAAAATTTTAACCTTTTCAGTTATGCCATCATGAAAATAGGTGGCGCTATGTTCCACAAAACACTCATCATCGGGTGATGGTAAAACCATAACGACTTTTGATTTATCCGCTATAGAACGTAAAATTTCCAATAAAGCCAAGAGTAAAGATTCGCGTTGCATATCGAGAGAGGGTTGTAGAGGACTTAAGAATAGAATAGAGTTATGTAATAATAGTATTTGAATTTATTTTAAAAGTTAATACTCTGCCATGGCAGCACTCCTAGAGGATTTACGACCAAATAGCAAATGTTTTAATATAAAACCCTGAACCACTGATAATAGACCGCGGGTAGCATTACGCGGAGACCTTAAGCCATAGGCAAATTCTTCTTTTGCTGAACCAAAGGTAAAGGGAGTTTGAGTCCATTCTGCTCTCATGGGTATGGCCGAGGTGCCAAAAACTAATTGTCTTAGTTCCTTTTAAAATTACAAAATTAACTACGATTTTTTTTTAACCACAAGAAAAACTTACCACTGCCAATTCTGGCGTTATGGGAGTACCACCGAGTTGCTTAAATTGAGCTGCCATCTAATTTTTTTTTAATTTAATCCTTTGTTTCCTAACGTCTGCTGTCTTTGCTCTATGTTTTAAGAATAATTGCTTTCACATTTCTTACTTTACCATGTTAACTTTCTAACAATTTATTTCCGTTGCAATTCGTTTTTTTTTCTTTTTCAATTCATAACTTTCACACCCACTTTTGCTTGTTTAATTTTAATTTGCATATTTGTTTGAATATGTTATTATTAAATATTGATATGAGCCTATTATATTGCACTTGATTTTTATTGTTATAGTTTATATATCAACCTTTATAGTACATCTATACTTGTATTTAAGCTGTCACTCAAAAGTTATGATTTCTTTTTAGTTTTATTTCAGTAGCAAACTAATTTTTGCTGTTTTTTTTTCGGTTGAAGTTTTTAAATGATTTTCAATTGCACACCAAAATAACGGTATATTACATGCAATCGCAAAAAAAAAGTGTGAAGTGGTTGTTTGTATGTGTTGCAAAAAAGGATTGTTTGTATTTTTGTGTTTGTTGAATTACTGGCAATAGTTTAATGTGTTATTAGTTCAAGTACAGCGTAAATATATTCAATATTTGTTAAAAAGTTTTAAATATTAAAGTAATTTATTCAAAAAAGTGAAATGTTTACTAACTAGATGTGTGTTTTTAAACAATAATTAGTAAGCCATATACTTCACAGTAGGAATTTTATATAATGAAATGGAAATTACATTATAAATTTCAATAATTTTGAATCAAATCGAAACTATAGTAAATATAGAAGACTATTAATCTTAAAGTAGATTTAGGGTCACAGTATATTAAACTCAACAACCTTTTTTGCAGACTACATTACTTCTTTTCCACTTTAGTCTTACATTTTGCTTTAAAGCTATAACTTTTTCTCACCTTTTTGCATTCTTCATGAGACATATTTTCTTTTTATTTCATTTTACTGGGGGTTTTAAAAAAATTTATAATTACCTTAGATTTTGTATCCCAACTCTGCAATAGCTCTTAACATAATTGTCCTCCTATAAATCCTTTCATTTCTACAACCAAAATAATCAATTCACAGCTTTTTTTTAAATTCTGTAATGACATAAATATATTTATTATTAAATAATGCATATTAAGTCTTTTATAAAGTAAAAAACATGCTCATCAAACTCACTTTCTATTACCAACATTACCATATTATCCTCTGAGGTTCCTTAAAATCTTTCCATTTAATTTCTTTTGTAAAGAATATATAAAATGTTAAAGCATTTAAAACAACATAGAAACCCAACTCTAGCCATTGAGCTAAACGATTTTTAGGATTTGGACGAGTATTTAAACGGAATAAAACAAAAGGTATTAGGAAATAGCGTACTTCCAATAAACGTTGAAAACATAAAACCAAAAAGACCGCCAAGCAAAACATTAATTTAAAAGAAAAACGTAAATGTTTAATGCCCTGTTGTATAAACATTAAGGCTAAAACATAGACAGGACACATGGCATAACGGAACCAAGAATAACGATGATAAAAACGATGCCATATATAGAAAATATAATGACGATTATCGGCCAATAGATAAGGATGAACTAAAGTATTCCATTTGACTATAAGCATAAAAACACCGGTAAGAAAGATGAATACAAGTTTTTCTTTTAACAGCAGTTGTAGAGTGGAACGCAATTGACAGAGCGTATTGGAGACGGCAAATATTAGGCAGAATAGGGAGAAATAAAATAACTGTAAAGATGTTATAGGTATTAGAATTAATTTGTTGTTTTTTTTTAGAGCAAAGTTTAAAATACCTGTGGTACATGGATGGTGGCTTCATGAGCCCTTTTATCTCCCAATACTATGGAACCATTGAGATAAACAAAACCTATGAAGGGCAGTATTATAATCATATAGAAAGAGCATTTTTTCAAAATATGCCAAATGCATTTCAGTAAGAGTTTAAAATTACTGACGATTTCCAACAAGACCTTGAAAGAAGAAGAACGAAAGCATGAGAAATTTTAAAGAAAAATATTAAAAAAAAGAAGAAAAAGAAAGGATCATCTGTGATCACAACAATTTCCTCTCTTTTATACATAAAACGTAAAATCGGCTCTAATTATTTAAATAACTTATGGAAAAAAACTGATTTACATCTGTGATCACCAAAAATTTTCATCAATAATCGATTTTAAAGAGACCCAATCGCAAAAGGGAAGGCAACCTACTTTCATTTCCCATTAATAATCATCTTTTAAATGAAAAAACTACAATCGGCTCTACTCCCTTAAATAGTGAGCCAGTCACAAAACGGAAGTAAATTGGTGATCACTTTGGTTTCTCAGCTCATATCAACATTTATATGAAACACTCGAAATGGATGGTCTTGCTCAAATAGTGGCCCATGCGATTTTTAAAAAGTCTTTTAATTTGCCATCATTTTTATACAAAAAAATCTGTTGTTTACCTTTGGTTTATATAGTTTAACCTCCTGTGCCTTGATTCGTTTAAATTCTGCATAATTTTTGGTTAAAATATCCAAGGCTGTAGTGCCAAAAGCCATGCCCAGCCAGACAACATTAGTCTGGCGCATAAGAACACTAGCAGCAGCTAAAATTTAAATTTCCATTAGAAAATCTTTCCAAATTTATTTTCAACACAAAACTTACCATAAACAGAAGCCTGCAAATGCTGTTCCTTTTGCCAGTACATATAAAACATTAGGACAGCAGTCAGAGACAAAGTGTCGGTATAGTAAAGATGTGAAAAGAAGTATAAAGGAGGTAGAGCGGCTATGGTGAAAGCATCTAGGGCGGCTAAGGACGATTGTATATTATCCAAATTGCGGCGTCTGATTTTATAGAGTAAAACTACATTTATAGCAGCTGCAGCCAAAGAAATCAATCTTAAACCCAATACCGAACAAAAATCCAAAGGATTTAATATCAAGGAGAACAAGTAAAGACCAGGGAAGGTGGTGATTTTAGAATCCCACTAAATCGTAATTAATTTATTAAATTGTATGCTTAAATATAGTTTTGCACCTACCACTTCGAATCTTTTATTACAAAAATGTAGTCCTTGCCTCAAATGAAACTCCTCATCTATAACCATTTGGGTGGTGGCATAGACTCTTAGAAAGAGAGGCAATGAATAGGCCAGAAATAGTAATGGCAATAATATGGGCCATATATAAGTTTGCATTGTGTTTTAGTTATTATGTTGACAAATTTTTTAATTTGTTTAATTACTTTTATACTGTTAAGAACAATTAAAAATAACTTTTTAGCCGGCTTTTTTTCAATTCCGCGTCAGGGCACGTCAGCTGTTTTTTTTTAGTTTTTTGTTTTGTTTACATCAGCTTGCTCTTTTTGAAAGCAAGTATTCACTGTGAAATGTTAGTATCAGAGTAAAAATGTTGAATGTTGAAAAGCAGGGTTGGTATTTAGGAATTATATGGAGAATAGTAACGTTTTTCTATTATTTGAATTGTATTTCAAAAAGTTATTTAATTAAATAAATAGAAGTAAGACGGTTTTAGTTATTAATAAATGATAGTAATCTGCAATCTCTCACTATTTCAGTTCTAGTTCTGTTCTAGTTCTGTTGTAGTAAAAAATGTTGAATGTCGAAAAGCAGAGTTGTTATTTAGGAATTATATAGAGAATAGTAACGTTTTCCTATTATTTGAATTGTTTTTCAAAAAGTTATTTAATTAAATAAATAGAAGTAAGACGGTTTTAGTCATTAATAAATGATAGAAATCTGCAATCTCTCACTATTTCAGTTCTAGTTCTGTTCTGTTCTAGTTCTGTTCTAGTTCTGTTCTAGTTCTGTTCTAGTTCTGTTCTAGTTCTGTTCTAGTTCTGTTCTAGTTCTGTTCTAGTTCTGTTCTAGTTCTGTTCTAGTTCTGTTCTAGTTATGTTCTAGTTCTGTTCTAGTTCTGTTCTAGTTCTGTTCTAGTTCTGTTCTAGTTCTGTTCTAGTTCCGTTCTATTTCTGTTCTAGTTCTGTTCTAGTTCTGTTATAGTTCTGTTCTAGTTCTGTTCTAGTTCTGTTCTAGTTCTGTTCTAGTTCTGTTCTAGTTCTGTTCTAGTTCTGCTCTAGTTCTGTTCTAGTTCTGTTCTAGTTCTGTTCTAGTTCCGTTCTATTTCTGTTCTAGTTCTGTTCTAGTTCTGTACTTGTTTTGTTCTAGTTCTGTTCTAGTTTTGTTCTAGTTCTGTTCTAGTTCTCTTCTAGATCTGTTCTAGTTCTGTTCTAGTTCTGTTCTAGTTCTGTTCTAGTTCTGTTCTAGTTCTGTTCTAGTTCTGTTCTAGTTCTGTTCTAGTTCTGTTCTAGTTCTGTTCTAGTTCTGTTCTATTTCTGTTCTAGTTCTGTTCTAGTTCTGTTCTAGTTCTGTTCTAGTTCTGTTCTAGTTCTGTTCTAGTTCTGTTCTGTTCTAGTTATGTTCTAGTTCTGTTCTAGTTCTTTTCTAGTTCTGTTCGAGTTCTGTTCTAGTTCTGTTCTAATTCTGTTCTAGTTCTATTCTAGTTCTGTTCTAGTTCTATTCTAGTTCTGTTCTAGATCTGTTCTAGTTCTGTTCTGTTCTAGTTCTGTTCTAGTTCTGTTCTAGTTCTGTTCTAGTTCTGTTCTAGTTCTGTTCGAGTTCTGTTCTAGTTCTGTTCTAATTCTGTTCTAGTTCTATTCTAGTTCTGTTCTAGTTCTATTCTAGTTCTGTTCTAGATCTGTTCTAGTTCTGTTCTAGTGCTGTTCTAGTTCTGTTCTAGTTCTGTTCTAGTTCTGTTCTAGTTCTGTTCTAGTTCTGTTCTATTCTAGTTCTGTTCTAGTTCTGTTCTAGTTCTGTTCTAGTTCTGTTCTAGTTCTGTTCTAGTTCTGTTCTATTCTAGTTCTGTTCTAGTCTGTTCTAGTTCTAGTTCTGTTCTAGTTCTTCTAGTTCTGTTCTAATTCTGTTCTAGTTCTGTTCTAGTTCTGTTCTAGTTTTGTTCTAGTTCTGTTCTAGTTTTGTTCTAGTTCTGTTCTAGTTCTGTTCTAGTTCTGTTCTAGTTCTGTTCTAGTTCTGTTCTAGTTCTGTTCTAGTTCTGTTCTAGTTCTGTTCTAGTTCTGTTCTAGTTCTGTTCTAGTTCTGTTCTAGTTCTGTTCTAATTCTGTTCTAGTTCTGTTCTAGTTCTGTTCTAGTTTTGTTCTAGTTCTGTTCTAGTTCTGTTCTAGTTCTGTTCTAGTTCTGTTCTAGTTCTGTTCTAGTTCTGTTCTAGTTCTGTTCTAGTTCTGTTCTAGTTCTGTTCTAGTTCTGTTCTAGTTCTGTTCTAATTCTGTTCTAATTCTGTTCTAG